TCCTGAGTCAAAAATTTAAATCCTTAACTCTTATGTATGTGGCCGTTAGGTTACAGTTGTCCCATTGTCACTTCACTTTTCTAAGGGACTTTTACAATATCTTGTAAGACTTGGCAATATAAAGTAACATTTTAATTGTTGGTGATGTGAGTATTCATCTAATTAGTGCAACCAATCCCCAAATAAAGCATTCATATCGCTTAACAACTCATTGGATTAACCTAATTTCTAACCCAATTTCATGTCACAACAGCAATATACTGTATATGATATGCCATTAACCCTTAAAATGGCATATCTGTAATGATGGTGTATGCACAGCACAGACAGCACAGTCTCGAGGATATACTAAATACCAGCACTCATGGGTAACATTTTTAACGATCACTTTTTAAATAACACTTGGGAAATAATATTTTACAAATGAATGCATTTGCCGGACTGCCAGTATCCTGCCAATGTTCATTTAGCTGATTATCTGTAAGAGCTGTTATCTCCTTCTGCTCTTTTTACAAGCTGAGCTGTCAAATTGACCAAATAAAAATCTATTCTGGGGGCTGAGATAAACATTAAAGTGCCCACAGTGGCACTCGTTTGATGTTAGCACTAAACAAATGTCTCATAACCAACATACTGTAATAGGTAACCTACAGTAACCTACACAGTAGCCTACAGTTTATGTTCAGACTATAAATAAATGCACTTTGCTCTTTTTGAAATATATTTACAAATGTAAGAAGGCAGAGTACAAAATCTGGTTTTGTAAATGAAAGTACATCAATGTCCCAAACTCATTAGGAGAGATGACCAGCCAACATCTCAAAAACAAGATACAGAGGCGAGTTAACGGCCTAAGGTTTGTGACTCATCTTAAGGCACTATGATGTACAGAATCCAGTTTCATGAGATGTTTAGTTGAAGCATTCATACATAGCAGGTCACCATAATCAAGGACTGGCAAAAAAACAAAAGGTGGGCGCAAGCGAGATTTTCCTAACTTGTGATGAAAAACGGGTCTTGTGTCAATAACAGAAACCTAACTTCCACTAGAATTTCTTCACCAGGCTTTTAATATGGTGTTTAAAAGTGAGACACTCAGTCGAGCCAGACTCTCAGATATTTATAGCAGGTCACTACCATGAGATGTCACAGCGTCAGTGTTCTCTGATGGCTGATTTCTTGAGTTAGAAAAAAAAATCCATTACTTTAGTTTCATCTACATTTAAAAGCAACTTAACTTGAAAAAGTTACTTACTCAACTGTCTATAAAAGCGAGGTAGCAAATAAAAAATGAAACATAAAAGAAACAATGATTAGATGAAGTACATCTTTATCAGAACTTTGAAGCCAACATTCAGAATCGGCGAGCACAAAAAATACAGTTGTGTGTAGTTTGTGACTGACACATTATTTTTTTTCTCCTTTAAATTTTAGCACAAGGTTCCAAGATTTGGTTCATAAAAGGATTTGATGATTTGATACTTCACTGTAGACATATAACATCTGTAAACCTGTCCTGGGTAAGTTTTTATTTTCTTTGCCTGTTTATGTCTTTGCTTATTTTTTATCTTACCCTCATTTGTCTTTGCATGTCTCTCTCCACATTCACAAACACAAACAAACACAGCTGTCACAGTGGCCTATTACTCAGGGCAAGCGAGAGCCTGCAGATGGGGACTGCTAAATGCCGGTGCCACAGTACATCGGTGGCTAAGAAACAGGGGCACCTGCTGTGATCACAGGTGACAAATGGCTGTTTATACACATGCATGCACAGACCTAAACATACAAACATGTACACTATCGGTCACATATCTGGACACACTGTCCCATTCAAGTCAATGGGAAAACGGGCCCAAAATTTTGACTGGTAATGCAGAAACAAACACATGATGAATGCAAACAAACCCACTGTACATTATTATGCCACAGCTACAGGTTCAAAGTGACACTGCGCTGGCACCCACACAGAGTGGGACATATTTTAAAAGCATCTAACATAAAGCATTTTACTAAGATGTTGGGCCTCCATGTGGCACCAGAACAGCCTGTATGCACCTTGGCTTTGATTGTACAAGTCTCTGGAACGCCGTACTCTCATCTGGTGATGGTGGTGGAGAGCGCTGTTTAACACACTGGTCCAATTAAATCCTCAGTTTAGCTGCATTTGCAGGTTTTTACTGGTGTCATTTTCATACTCATCAAACCATTCAGTGAGCGCTTATGCCATATAGATGGGGACATTTTCATCCTGGAAGAGAGCGCTCATTTATTCAGGTTTTTCCTTCAATTTGACACCTGTCTGTAGTTTTGGACTGGAGGCTGCAATTTGTACAGTTTGTTGCAACCAGGCAAACTTGAGAGATTGTATGTTGTTTTTTTTTTTTAAATCAGATACAGGAAGTGACTCAAATTCATTGAAATGAAAGATGATCTGAGACACAAACCAAGTAAAGACATTCAGCCAGGTGATGCTTTACTTAGGACAGAATGTTGCTATTTAAGGCTGAATGATATGATGAAGTCTACAACTGCCATCAACTGATTTCATCTCTTGTGTTGTTAGCCTTCAGCTGGACACATGCTAAGTTGCTAAACAATAATTTTTCCTCAGGTGAGGAAAGACAGAGCATGTAACAGATGCCTAAGTGCTCAGATGTAATTCGGTCTTATGATATAAAGCCCTAAAAATCATTAGGTAAAAGAGAGGTATGTATATAACTTACAAAAAAAGCAGGGTGGTGTAGACTTTATTATTTGAGCTAATATTTCAGAAACAGTGGAGGATATTTATTAAACCTGTTGCAAATTACCATCTGGGGTGCAAAATACTGTGGCACAACTTTTCAGCTTAGTGGCGTATTCACCAGCACCGATAATGTAAATGAGCGCAGCCGGAGAAGTGTTAATATGCATGCACCTCTGCTTGGGATCTGCTGCCTGCGCCTGTGCCTGCAGCCTATTGGAAGAAATTTTAAGTTTACAGTGACTGAACATTAGTATGGTAGAAGAAATCAACAAACATATTTTGGAATAGCAGTCACGCAGTCTCCTGACCGTCAAATCATCTTTTATTTCATTCAGTATGGTTTGACCTGAAAGTTTCACATTCTCCTCTGGCAAATGATTTACAAAAACCCTTTCCCTCCTCAAACACAGTCTTAACTCTCAAATGACTAACCGCTGCCATGCTGAGAGCAGTGCTGCAAATTTTACACCCGCTTTTTCCTGACATTTAATTTTAGCCGCAGTTCCTTCTGTCACAGCGATGGTAAATCAGGCGCTGAGAATATCTGAATAAAATTCAATTCTCTCCTCTCTCAATTTTGCATCCATGAATGGAAATGTCCTAAAACACATATTGCATGAGACCTGACATGCAAATTCCTGAGGTGCTGCTTTTCTTCTTTTTCTCCAGTGCAAAACCCCACTGCAACTCCTTAGTACATATAAAGATGTACACTGTTTGGCACCAAAAAATGAGCTGCAAAAGCTTAGTAAATATCCTCCAATGTGCCTATCCTTTAAAGGGGTGTGCACATATTCTCTGTCCTACCGTTGCTGTTCTGTGTTGGTGAAGCAGTGTGCAATAAAGATTTTTGAGAACCAAGAGTCTCTGAAGTTGTTTTTAAAGAAAGATACTGCATAAGGCTGCTCCGACTGTTAGCTAACACTGAGATAACAATTCCTAGCTAACTTAAAATGTTCCAGTTCTTCAGGTTACATTAGTATTAGCTATGCTCAGAGGCCAACAGCCATCTGTCAGACCAAAAGTGATCAAAACATAATAGCTGAAAATTCACACTGGTAAAAATTTGAAATTGAAAATCGTGTTGTTCAGACTGTCAAGTTTTTCTGGTGCCTTCCATGTTGTAAGAAAACAATAAAGGGTCCAAGGTTACAAATGCTAGACAGGTTAGGGAACATTTTGCAGGGTGATTGTTCCTTTGTGGAAGGCACTAAAACCTGAAGTGCCACAGTAACTTAAGTCATTGAGTTAATGTGCAACAATTATGGCTCCGGTTAGAAATCAGTCAGCAGAACCCAAATGGAGTTCGGTGGACGATAGATAAAACGTGTGTAAAAGTGAGAGGGATAGAGGGAAAGAAAATGGATGAAAACACGTACATAAGGTAGATTAAAGAAAAAAAAAATACAGCAGCTGCCGACAGAGGTTGTAGCACAAAGTTTCTACTGTCATTTTGGAAATATACTGCGGCCCACGATTCAAAATTATGATGGACTGGATTTAAGTTGTTCGCATGTTTATGTTTGGCCAGCAGCATAAAAATTGTTTTACTTTTTACTTCTGGAGGACAGAAATCAAGCTGCTCATGCTGGCAATGACCTGTCAAAGAAACAATACATTTTCTAACCATACTTTGCAGAAGCTTAAGTAGTTTATGCCCTAAAAGCCAAAGCAACAACAAAGCTACATTCACATTACAGGCCTTAAGGCTCCATCTTTTCATCAGAATTGATCTTTTTGGGCTGGTGGTTCTCATTGTAAGTGACATGTGCAGTATTGTACGTGACTCTGGTGTAAACACAGATGAGCTCCTAAGTTGCCATGTGTGGGTAGATTAAACTGAAATGTGAGCTGCATGCATACAAAAATAAAAAGAGTAATGTACAGTAATATGTGCAACGGTCAAATTGCACAGTTTCCTCAAAAAACCCTCTGTAACCACATGTTCCTTCTACCTCAGCTTGACCAGAAGCTTCTCCGCAAATGTCCAACAAATGTGAAACACACTCATCTCTCCACTGACCCCTGCCGCTGTTTTTGCTCTCCTCTGTGTTTATTTTTAACCTGCCTGTGAGGGCCCGACACTGAATGAGGGTGTTGGGCAATAAGTGCATGCGCAGGGGAACGAGGCACCAATAAAATCACATGAATTCTGATTTGATCATTCTGATAGCAGTCGCTGTCAAATATCAAATATGACTGCTATCTAGGATCACATATGGAAATATCATCATATGACAATGGCAAGGTGGCGATAAAACACAAAGCAAAGGAAATCTTATCTCACCACTTTCTGCTTGGAGTTTGGTTTCTGCAGTAGCCACTCGATGTCAAGAGGGTTGGATGATGGGAACTGATGGTGGCATGGTAAGGTGGCATTGTCCCCTACGACCTTCTTCATCTCTGTCTGGGCACCCGCTGACAGCAGGCTGAATAGGACTGAAGGAGAGAAAGAGAGAAATGGGGGGAAGAAAAATGGAGAAGGAGAGGTAGAGAGATGTCAAACAGGGACACTAGCTTGACACAAACTTGAGACATGAGGCAGATGCTGCTGAAGCAAAACCGAGCTGATAGAGGAAACTGAGATGAAAGATACAGGAGATATGACCCAGAATCCCAATCACTATCTGACAGATGCTGAGATACGTCACACCCTGACACTGAACAGAGACAGAATGGGTTTGAATGGGAATAGAGTTTGGCACAAGAGGTCAGAGAGAGAGACGTATTATGGTCTTTTGTTACCCCCTTTTGACAAGGGCAGTCAAAGAACACATTCTTATTCATGACAACAGCTATGGGAAGTTGTGGCCTGGGAAGGGAATGTACAAAGCTTCCTGATTATAGAGAAGCTACACAGCAGGTTCATGGATATATTTGCCATAAAACTGTAGGGGCACTGTTACTGAGTCACTTTATTTACTACCATTCTCCAAATTAGCTCTGGCCCCATTCTAATGATCACATGTGACAAGGAAGCAGGTTTAATATTTGACAGTATCCATAACTATTGCCAATGAGTCATGCAGTCATATCACAACACATGCTAAAAAAAAATAAATCACACAATCTGCTTAGTGAAGAGATTGGGTTGCCGTAAAAAGTAGCTGCATTTATGAGTCTGTGCACAAGCGAGGGACTTAGGGCACTGGTCACACACCGGCAGGGTCTGGGTCTCAGTGGGTGAGCTGCAAAGCCAATTTAATGGAGGATGCTGGACAGCCCAGTGGGCTTGAGTGGAATTAGCCAGAGGCGTCACTGGGGGTTGATGGAAGCTGAAGCTATGGATTGTGTTGTGTCTGTTTGTGTGCATTTAAAGGGTGTGGTGCACTGCTGAGATATTCAACACTCTCCACCCGGTAATAAGACTTTACAATACAGCAGAGCTCTGCCTCTGCTGAGCGTACACAATCCAATGTGACAGATATGTTTGGCTCTACAACATTTAACTTAACTACCTGCCTTTGATTTAATTGGCAAATGAACCAACAGCTCCAGTCTGGGCCCTTAAAATAAAGTTATTCAACCCAGCAGATGCTCATTTGCTATTCTTGAAGCAGACTGAGTCGATGCCTGGCGCATGAAATGCACTATATATATAACCTTAACTTGGAATCATGCAGGAATGTACAGGTTGTGTAAATATTATTACAACTCCGATTCATTTTTATGCTGCTTAATAAGTGTTTGGAAGTCCAACGCTTCCTCTTGTTTGCACAGAATAAATAAGCATAAAGATACGGGACATGTACTTGAACAAAAAATTATGTCTGTGGAGGAATGATTCAGCACACAACTACTCACTGAAAGAATGCCTTTGTGCACATCAGACACACATGGTGTCAAATGTTCCACAGGAGGCCAAACATGGCCAGTGAATGCATCAGCACTCATTGGGCGCTTTTCCACTTGTTCACTGGTGCACCCTCACAGGAGCCAACGCCCTGTCTCATAAGTGATATTGGCGCAATGAAAATGTCAGCTCTGTGATGTGAAACCAGTGAGTCATTGCTGACGCAGGACACAGAGGTGAAGAGTAGCCTCATAAAAACCACTTCGTCTAAAACCGCTTCGCCCATACTGATGGCATCATCTGGTGGATTCCTCATATTCTTCAAGTTTTGTTTAAGCTCTGTCTCTACTTTGTGAGCTTATAAACCTGAGCTCTGGGCTACTCGCTGTCAATCATGTTTAAGGTTTTCATTTGGAATTCACCACTTTAGGAATCTGTTGAGACACCTGTGCCCACCGTCTTCCCTTGGCTCCTCACGCTAACCCCTTTAATCAGGGTTCTCACACTCTTCAGCATCCTGGGGCTGAACCAGTCACTGTGTAACAGGCCCGATAAGAGCTTCCTGCTTCCTTCCACACCTCCCACCTTCTCCTTAACTGATCTCTGCTTTAACTGTAGGCTCTGTAAATGGAAGAGTTTACCTTAAAGCAGAGAATTACAGGGCACTGAATCTTTTTTTCTCATTAAATCGACCTTCAAACAATGACTAGGGTCACTAAATGTAGTATTGCTTGGGTGCTTCATTGCCCAGAAATACAGAAAGAACTGTCAGACAAATTGGAGTGGGGCTGGTCAGTAACCAGTCACTGCCCCCCATTTTGCCACATATTTACAGAGGGGGGGGTTTTGTGCTGTTGGAATGGATGATACAGCGTTCCCAAAATAAGCTTGCCTTGGTGTGAGTTTGAGTTGACATTTGGATTGATCTCTTTGTGCACAGCTGGGACAGCTGGACCGCTAGAGCCCATCATTTGTGTCAACATCAACTATGAGAAACAGCAGAATTCATCTCTGTGGCAGGTATGCATTCAAAGTATGAAAACTGTTTTGTCAGACAAATTTGTGTTAATGTGGAATTTCAATTTGCAGTACAGTGAACTAATAACAACCAAAACTGTGAAACATATTAACCACGACAACAATCTTGGTCACAGTGCTGTGTGTGCAATCACATGTCTTTATGAGATTCCATAAAGACATGGGAAAGGCCACGTAAATGAGAGTGAGATAAGTGTGGAGAAGACTTGTGATAACTGGGGCCATCTCCCAGACCATGTCTTCCTTCTCTCTTTCTCTTCCATTGTGTTCTTTTCTCGGCTCCATGTGGCTCAGCTTCATGCTTCCATTTGTGGATAGGAAAAGACGTATCATGACTAACAAAGGAAAGTGGGACCTAATACCAGAGGTTTTGAAAGGGAGAGTGAGTTTGAGAGAGAGAAAGACACATTTGACAAAGAGAGAGTGAGAGGCTAGGGTGAAATATGGAGGAACCAATTTCTATGAAAAGGCCCTAGGGGGAGTTGTGCTCCAGTAAATCCGCCTTACAGAGCTCTGCAATCTTATTATAGCATGACCAGTGAGACTGACAGACAGACAAACAAGTCAGGCCTGGATCTTTCACACTGCCAGAAGTCAAGCCCCATATCCCCTCAGTCAGCACAATGGTCTGACTGGGGCCTTTGCCATGTCCAAAGGTTATGACCTCTGGTACTCAAACACAGCAGATCAGAAGGGAAGAGTGGGACAGAGAGAGATTAAGGTGGGGGTAAAAAGATAAGGGAATGGATGGAGAGATGCTACACTGCCTTATTTTCAGCACCTACTAGTGTCACTATTGTGCAGGATTATACCCTCACAACAGTGATTTTAGAAACAGGTTAACAAATTCACAACTATTTTATTTCTTGTAATAACTTCCCACTGTGCAGATTCACACTACTTTTACTGTATAGAACATATGTGTGCCCATCTACAGGAGGTGGAGAGTAAGTAATTTACTCAAGCACTGTACAATTTTGAGGTATCTGTATCTTACTTGAGTATTTCCATTTTCTGCTACTTCATACTTCTTCTATCTTTTACTCCACTACATTTATTTGATAACTCTAGTTACTATTTACTTTTTAGAATCGGAATAACAGAACAAGATTCAGTATAATTATAAGACTTTGTTGATACCTGGTGGGAAATTTGCAAGCTCTCCAGCTATACTTTAAATTACAATCATATATGCTAGTTAAAATTAGCTCCACCTTTATCAGCTGCAACATTAAATGGGATGTACACAATAATACATCAATAATTATAATTCAATAATATAATATGCATCAATACGAAACTTTTTATTTTGGTACTTGGAGTATACTTTCATGCTAATACTTTTGTATTTAAGTAAATTCTGAACATAGGACTTTTACTTTTACTTGAGTACAGAATCTGAGTATGTGCTCCACCACTGCCATCTACATTTTATGTATGTGCGTGACAGCTAGAGCAAATGCTCTATGTGAACACATGCTCTGTAACAAAGACACTTCCATGGCTGACCATCTGCATAACAGAAATACAAGGGACTATCTAAGCACACAAGCCTATGTATAATTTGGAATACAGCTGCTGCCATTAGGCATACAGACTAATCACACATCTGAGTAATATGTACAACCTTGCTGCAGCAGGCAACAGTACCAGTCACCTCCCAACCCTGTCAGTCTGTGCAAAAACTGATCTTCTGTCAATTACAGGCTCATCAAGGAACAGGGTTAAATGCAGAAGACAGAGAACAGTTAGTCCATAATTAAGGATTTTATGTATGAAACTATCAAAATCAGACAGGGCAAATATATACTAGGTCCTAAACACAGTACAATCCATCTATTCTTATTGGTGACATACTGTAAAGTTTTTAGCTGAGGACATGCTGAGAGGAGCATAAAGCTGATGAGACAACAATGAAATAGTCAGAGCTGAGCATGCTTTTTAAAAGGCTGTATCTGCTCCCAGCAGTCTTCTCTGACCTGAATTGGATATTCAAATTCAAAACATATACATATACTATAATTATAATTCACAGGTAGGAGTATACATCTTGCTCTTCCCTCTTTCTTGATATCTTTGAGGGTTTTGAGATGGACTTGCTTAAAACGACAAGAAATCTTCAGATGAATCAGCAGACAAGAGGCCGCCCCCAGTTAGTGCAAACTGAGTGCTTACAGAAACAACACTCATGCCCACACTGAGAGAGAACCTTTTATTCATAGAGCTGCAGCTCCCTTTTTAATTACAGTTTCTTAAGGGGTAAATCACTTTAAATCTACCAAGATACCATGGCCCATTAAAACACATGTTTTGCATATGGGACACACTAGTCTCCGTGTAGTTTCAAGGTCCAACTCATGAATATGTTGCTTGTTTGAAAATCAAAAGGACCGTTTTTCCCTCCTGACTGGAGGCTGGTGCTTTGAAGGGATAAAATCCCATAATCCTCCTTATCCCCAGCAAATGATGCTCCTTTCTGCTGAAAAGGACCTTTTGCTGGTAATAGTCCACTGGAAGGCCCATAGAGTCATTACCAAGCAATGAGTAAGAAACAAGGGATAACTGCTAATTAGCAGTAGCTCACAAGCAGTTCCTGACTAACTTTGTC